AAAACTATTTTGATTAAATTTCTGTTTCGTAAATTTAAATCTGTTAATTTCACTAAAAGTTTTTTTTCTCTACATATTTAACCAATAACAGATTTTTAGCAATAAACCAAAAAAAATCTCTCTCTGTAATCATAATGTCGTCGAATTATAATTGTCATTTATCACGCAATCAAAATTACTTATTAAACAATTGTGAGATTATTTAAAAAATACAGAAAATTATATTTTCAATGATTTGCTACAAAATCTGAGATAATGAACTTTTTTGTTTTAAACATCTTTAATAAAATTTATGTTTTTTTTTCTGAACTTAAAACTAATTATCATCACGAAAGCACCAAGATTATTAGTTTGTTTGTCTAATGAAAATTATTTTAAGAAAACAGTAGATAGTTAATGGCGACATATTTTGATTTTGTTTAAATGGATTGACTGTTTTTTTTTTCAATTTTCAATATTTTATCTTGATAAGAAACAAGGAGAAATTGATAATAATGGTAATGAAACGAAAAAGATTGCCTAAAAATGGCTTGTTCAATCGTCATATATATTATTCAGAGTTGAATGATTTAAGAAACTGATTTCATGGTTATTTGCAATTGTAGCATTGTTTGTGATAACCAAACTGTTATGGTCGTCACTTGCTATGCTTGAAACTATTACGAGCTCACCTTAGTCGATAAACCAGAAAGAGACAATGAACAAATGTCCACGTAGGCTACTTTGATCCGTTGACCCCAAACTCACTGACAAAAATGTCTTGATATGGCGTAGAAAGTGTATTTTACAAACACCCAGCCAGCACACAATGAACTCAAGTACACAAATCGCGTTTATTTATACATCATAGAAACGTCCTTGGGGCAGCAGTCACAAAAATAGCACACTAAAATAACACAGTAACCAATCACAGTGAAGGCTTTTCGTGGTGGGAAATGTGATGTCAAGGTCAACTGATCAGCTCATGAATAAAATCCAAAATGAAGACATTTATCAAGCGAGTTGTGGGGGATCTAACGTCCCCAACACAAACTTTCACTCCAATATATATATAATATCTGATATGTGAAAAGACTGTTTCGATGAGCTCCTGCCTGACATCATGTATAACATTTTCATATGTGTATTGTATGAATAATACTGACTAATCGAGGGTTCGTTTTCCTTCCTGCAATTTCATATTTCTTCATTTGTTGAATATTGTTTATGATAATCTGAATTTGAAATAATCAAGAACTGTAAGTGGTTCGTGGTAAAGTCGAATTAGGACTCAACAATTTAGTGGTCCGCAACTTGACTACAGGTCGGATGAATGATCGAATTTACTATCTTCCTTTCAGTTTTATGTATTTTATACTTAAACAAACCCTGGTTGTGCAACTGTAACAGTAAGAAGCCAAATATATTTTCGCAAATGAATTTATTTTATGGATTCATTTAAGCAGACAGACATGAGAATAAGAACAACATATATAAGCGAACAATACTGTTGTTTTCGATTAAAACGTCATCAGGATTTACTATAATATACATGAATATTTATATGAAAATGTTAAACCAGTCAGGACAATCTGAGTCAACAATCGTCACAATGAAATGAAATAGAGATTATGTCACTACACACACAGTAGGCAAAAGTACAAGTTGAAAGTAGGAAGATAGGTGTGTTCTATGTGCATGTATAAATTCAGCTGTTTCTGTGGAGAGAGCTATATCGGGCGTACTACCAGGCAACTTAACCATTGAATGAGTGAACATCTACCAGCATGGTTTAAGAAGGGTCAGTCAAAAACAATTGGCAGTTCGATCTTAGCACACCTGGTAGATAGTGGTCACATTGTAGATAAATATAGATCTTTTCGGGTGATCTATCGTATACCTCAATCAATTCCCAATGGAGTTCGATCCTGTCTCCTACACATAGCAGAAGCCATAGGAATGCGTACATTCAACCCTAATTTATGTGTGTTCAGAAGAAATTCGTGACACGCCTATTTCTTCCGTGGCCGGATATGACGTAACTATAGGATTTAAGATTTTGAAAAAAATGTTTCTTCTTTTTTGGTTTAAATTTTATTTTGTTATTATTAGCATTCAGTTTCACATCCTGTATTTGTTGGTAATTTTCTGCCTCTCTCCGTGTATACTCTTCACAGTCTACTCAGACATACACACTTCTTATTACGTAATAGTTTTAATGCTTTGGTAATGATTATTTTAAGTCTATTTATCCACATTTGACCTACTATTGACAAAAAATTTTGTTATCGTATTTTATGAATTTCTTACTACAATCAGTACACCTACGTCTTCCTACTATCAAATTTTGTACTTTTGCCTCTTAGGTGTGTAGTGATATAATCTCTATTTCATTTCATTATGATGATTGTTGACTCAAATTGCCTTGATTGGTTTAACATTTTCATATAAATATTCATGTATATTAGAGAATAAAGCCTGATGACGATCTAATCGAAAACAACAATATTGTTTGCTTATATGTGTTGTTCTAATTTTCACAATAGGAATCTTTAATATTCTTAAGACATGAGAACGAAAAGCGTACAAGCAAAGCGAAGCGAACCGGAGCAAAAATACGATTGAGCTGTAGCAATGACTAAGTATTAATAGTCAGCAAATAATAGGCCAGACATGGAATAACCAAGTAAACATTCACACACACATTCAAATATACAATAGTCGATACTACTATTATCGAATAATTTAAACGGCTGACCAATAAAGTTAGTATAATTAATAGACGGTGAGGTGCTACAGATTGTCTCATTTACCTACTTAACTAACGACGTACAATAAACTCATTTTGTTGGAGTTTCGTACTCTGTAGTTCGTACTGATGATGTCATTGTTCAGATGAAAGCGATGAAAGCTTCACAATCGAACAACATCCAGCTCAGTAAATGAAACTCCACCGTAATCATTCAACTGAGATCAAAAATTTCCCCACCATTTCAATAAACTCACAGAATCATTAAAAAGAACTGAAGATTTCCCATCTTTTCAGTAATATGTGTATATTGATAATAATTTTAGGTACACTTCGACTGATTATCTTATCAAATGATAACAGAAAATGCTTTCAGTGTTAAGAATAAAAAAATGAATTTCATCTTCTCATGAATTTCACTAAAGCAAATTACCCAATTAAGCTTTTAAGTAATATAAAATAAAATACGAAAATTAAATCCTGATAATTATCACGTTACTCATCTAAAATGGTTTTTGTTATTCATGTACGTTTGACTAGAGACAGAATAATTCAATAAGGTCTCGAAAAACTTTCCCCAGTGTTAATTATTCACATTTAACTATAAAAAAACTTTCTTCACATCATTTACTTTCCAAGTTATTCAAATGTCAACATGATGTCAACTGTATGTTGATTTTTGTTCAGTAACTAATAAATGAGTTGCAAATTTATTCGATAGGCGGAAGCAATATATGTCTCGATAAGATTAATAATTACGAGTTATGTGAGTGTCGATTTTCTAGAGATCCTAAGAACGATTTTGTAGAAAAAACATTCACTTTTATTACAGATTTGGCTATACTTGTTAGGGATTTTAGATCCGCAGAACTCACAGAGAATTTTGAATTTTTTTATGTTTTCGCGCATAAGTTGCTTAGTTGACCTTCAGCTTACATTACCCACCCGGAAAATCCTTGACTGTCATTGGTCGATGGATTAGTTTGGTACGCTGTTTTTGGCTCTGACAAGGAGGTTTCTATCACGTATAAATAAACTCCATTTGTGTGCTTTTCAACCTCATATTTTCTGGCTGCCTGTAGAATACACTTTTTTACGCCTTATCATGTTTGTAGTTCAACAAAGAGTCTCAAACCACTGGTAAACAGTTAACCACTGTTTCTGGATATTCAATTATTGATTTATGCTGAATATCATTCTAATACTGATTGGGAACAATCAACTTGATAATTCATTTTATGTAGCCAACCTCAAAAATTTCAGTACCTATCTTTTGTACGATAGTCTCATTTACAAACTAGTCATTGAATGATTTAAATACGTTTTTCATAAAGATTTTGTATTGACTGACTGATTTACTTACTTATTATTCCTGTGAACTCTAGTGAAGCATCGGTCACCGACCAGCATTCTTCAATCTACTGTGTCCTGGAACTTCTTTTGCAGTTCCGTGCAATCAATGTTCACTCTTCTCATGTCTATCTCCTCATTTTCTTTGGCTTTAAGGATTCCAAGTGAAGGCTTGTCATGTGAAGCAGTTGGATGATTTCCTCAATATGTATCCTATCCACTTCCAACGCTTCTTCTTGATTTATTCATCAGCTAACTGACTCAAAACTGTGCATATATTATTGGCGTTAAATAATTAAACTAAAAACGAAATCCAATAAATATCTGAATCCATGAATCGATCAATGTTAGACCACCATTAGAAACCTGGAAGCACTGGACGGCCGTTTCGTCCTGGTATGGAACTCCTCAGCGCAACTCCATGAATTTGATCAAGTTAGACATTAACACCGTTAGATACCAGCTCAGTGGTCCGATGGTTAGACGTTCGCCTACAATACCGAAGGCGCTCGGTTTGAATCCTGCAGGGTGCAGGAGTCGTGGATGCGCAATGCCACTGATGAGTCCCATACCAGGACGAAACGGCCGTCTTTCAGTGCTTCCAGGTTTCTAATGGTGGTCTAACATTGATCGATTCATGGTTTCAAAAATGTGTAACTTAACAATATTCACAAACCCGTAATGCAAATATTTGATTGAATGTAGCAAAAGTTTGCGTCAAGCCTTTCAACAAAAAAAACTTCCATGTCTCAATAGTTCTACAATGATATTTCTTCATAAAGAATAATCAATAGTCAGTTGTAAGCCAGGTCTCCATAAATCAATTAGAGTATTTTTTACATTTACTTCACCCATCAAAAAACAACAGATTATTAATAAATAATCCTCTCTCTCTCTATTTTACTCTTTTTTTTCACAACAGATATTATATTAAACTTTTGGACTACATATGTTAGTAAAAGTGGACAAGTTGTATATCATTTGAAAGCAATTGCTATAAATTATTTACGTGGTTGGTTCTTTCTTGATTTACTCGCGGCTATTCCATTTGATGTAATTTTGGCTGTGAATAATCCTGAAATACAAGGTACAATTGGTGAAATGGTAAGTTGACAATGATTAATAAGAGTTTATTGCATTGATTAATTTACATCTTAATAATAATAATGATAGAACAATGAAAAATTGAACAACTGTTTTTATCTTAGTTTAGTGTAATCGGGTCGATTTTTTTAAAAAACTGACCTGGTAAATAAGACTTTTCTTTTTGAAACAAAATGGTATTGGATTCATGTCCTAATGTAAACATTAACTCCCGGGAAACAGAGATGTAACTAATTGGCTGAGGAGTTCTAAGTAGGATAAAATTGAACTTCAAGATTCTATTGTAAACAAATAATTTACTTACTTACTTATTTACTTACTTACGCCTGTTACCCCCAATGGAGCATAGGCCGCCGACCAGTTTTCTTCACCCAAGTCTGTCACGGGCTTCTCTTTCTAGTTCTTTCCCATTTTCGTTAATTCTTCTCATGTCTTTCTCTATTTCTAAGCGTAATGTGTTCTAGTGAGGGCTTGTTTTGTGACGCAGTTGGGTGCTTTTCACAGTCTATGTCCTATCCACGTCCAACGTTTTTTCCTGATTTCCTCTTCCGCTGGAATCCGGTTTGTTCTCTCCCACAGTAGGTTGTTGCTGATGCTGTCTGGGCAACGAATCCGAAGTATTTTGCGTAGGCAACTGTTGATAAATACTTGTAGATGATGTCTTTCGTAGTTCTCCAAGTTTCTGCCCCATACAGTAGAATTATCTTGTGTTGAAAATCCTGATTTTGGTGTTGGTTGATATTTGTTTGAAGTCCCAGATGTTTTTCAATTGTAGAAATTCAGCCCTTCCTTTGCCGACCCGCGCCCTCATATCTGCGTCGTATTCGCCTTGATTGTTGATGATGCTCCCCAGATATGTAAAGGTGTTAACGTCCTCCAAGGCGTGTCCATCAAGAGTAATTTGGTTAGCGCATGTTATAATTTTATCGCAGAATCTTGCTGCGAACCTGCTGCTACACTGGTTGTCTTTTCTTGCATTTATTGTTGTGTGTGTGACAGAACAGCCGGACCACCTGAAAATTTCAGACCATCTGGCTGCATCCATGCTGTCTATTGTATCCTGTGATATTGACATCTTCCTAATCCAGTCGATCACCTGAAGAAACAGAAAGAATGACATTAAGCAACCTTACTTGACACCGTTCTTCACTAAAAATGAATCTGTCAGCTGTTCTTTTTATGCACGATTTCGTAGCGTAGTGAATGATATCAATAACTCAAATAATTTAATAATTTCCACACCTTAATAACAACCTGTATAAGACAATGATACCCTTAAAAATATTCTAAACAACCTCGTATAGTCTTTCAAAACGTTTGTTTTATATAAATTGTATTGCTTACAAATATTGTAGACTAGTTCATATTATTATTACGTAATATAACATTGATGTGTTCAGATTTATTTATCTTACCTAATTTTATTTTTTTAATCAAATGAAGCGTTTAATACATTTTCCTTAAGGGACTATGCAAACATTACGACAGAATGAACTTTTATAAAACGCATTAATTCCAAGTGAATTGCCTAATGAATGTTAACATTGCTTAGAGTTGACTGACGCAAAACTAGATTATTTGATTATCGTGCCAACAACAAAAACAGACATCGTTTATGTTTGAAAAAAATAATAATAATAATGGTAAGATCAAACAGATTTGAAAATTGAAACTTGAACAAACATTATGATTAGACAGATGGTCGTTGTTATTGTCTAAGGATATGATTAATTGGTTTGCGCTTGGTCCTGAAAGCTTCAAATTTCAAGAAATGTTGAATGTGTGGTAAAGGTGTGGGCTCAGTAATTTAGTGACGATGAATATCCGATATATTTTCTAAAATTCGTTTACTACTCGTCCTGATAACCGTTAATAGATAGCGGTAAATAGTCTATAAATCAGAAGACGATTTCGAAGCGTTGACTATGTTTACTACAGCACAACGCACAGATAATAAAGTTAGAGACATTCGAAACGAAAGTGAAACGACATGCTAGCGCCAAGGAGCAAATCTTTGAATTATTTAAGTGACTAACATTAAAGCTAGTTGAATGAATGTGTGTTTAGGTAGTAAGGAATGCTCAATCATACATATTTGCTCACACAAGAGCAATAATAATAAGTGAGTACGATGGTATAAATAAGTTGTTGTCGCTTTTCGAATGATGCTGTCTGTTAAATTAATTGATCAAAGGGCCTAAGCAAGTTTAATCATAAACGAACTCAAAGGTATGTGAGGCTCTATATGAGAAAATAGAAGGATATGGCTCTATGTGGCTCCCAAAAATCAATCAAGCTGATAAATATATGTGTACACAAATGTTGAGACGAATTATCAATAATGTAATTCACAGTCACATCTGTTTAATTTAAATAAGCAGTAATTAGCATATATAACTTACTTTAAAAAACACATCTGTAATATGATGCTGATAGATTTTCACACTGGCTTGATCTGTCTTTGTATTTCTGACCTTATGGTATTCAGTTTCTTGTTATATTTGTAAGCTACTAACTCAAGATAATTAAAGCAGGCACAATTGAGGGAGAAGAAAATTCATTAATTTTTACTGTGGTGTTTCGTTCTCTGATTGGGATGTTTTTTTCTCGTTGTGGAGCTTTCCTTGTTCTGCTAAACAACACAATCAGCACAAACTTCAAGTAGGAGTGAAGTATTCGAACTTCTCCAAGTTT